ATCCATACAAATAAACTTGCGCATTAGAAGTTTTTGTATGTCAAATTGCTATTGCGCAGACTTCCTTGTCTATGGCGCTGTTAAAGAACCTTGTCAATTACCAATCAGCGGCTCTAAGAGGTTCATACCTAAAAGGTGACAAACGGAACGGAGCCGGTACCTACTGACATAGCACCTGAAATTTTCAGTTTGCTCGCAAGTTAAATAAAGGGAAGATACATGGAACCTGATTTTTACTTGTTGCGTTCGCTCTTGTTTTTAGTATTGTAGTTACTTTGTACGGCGATTCGCACGTGGTTGGTTTCTTAGATCCCGTTTGAAAGAAGAAAATTTAGCAACTTGTTCCGTTTCATTTAAAGTTCATCTAAATATGAACCCAGAAGTCCTCATCTATCTCTGTAAGTAATAAATACAAAAAGTAAATTGAAGCAAGCATGAAACAGCAAGTAAATAACATCATTTATTAACGGAACAATAACAATAAAACTTTTCATTCGTTTTTACGTTTTTTTGTACTAGTCACATCTTTTATAGGATATGGTATTGCAATTTAACCTTAAAAGTCATAAATATAGCAAGAAGCAGGTAAAAATAATCACATAACTCTGTTGTTAGCGCCACGATGAGGGCGCTAATTATACTGATTTACAATTGGTTCATGGATTCTAGAGATAATTTTAGCATAATTATGCGTATTTGATGACATGTGTGCAGCCGGAAATATGGTTATTAATGTAAGGGACTTCTTCTTTCACTAAGCCCGCACGTTTTAATTGCGGGAAATAATTTAAAAAACGATGACTTCAATACTACGATACTGTACGATGACGTCTACTAATAACGTAGGTTACAACGATTAACTTCGTGTTCAAGTCTGAATCGCTATTTATGAGAACCTGTGTTCAATCATCTGTCTCTCCGGCTGGATAAATCATGGAAAAACATCTTTTTCTGGGTATTTGAGAGAAATTAATATTGAGCTTAATATTTTATTGAAAAAAGAATGCTTAAATACCTTTGTGGTATTGCAATCATGAAACAAAGAACTTCATGGGTGTTATTTTCACTGATCAGCACAGCGAGTCGGCGTAAACTGGTTGACTTTGCAATGGCTAAAAAATTAAACACTGTAACACAACATATAAAGTTCATATTCCTTTGGAACCATTACTTGAGACCCATTCGCATGACAGATTCGATGAACTCTAAAAAAACAATTCGAATTAAAAGGAGTCTCGTGACTCTTTGCACAAACAAAGGCACTTCATTGCGCGCGAATAAAATTATTATTTACTTTCATTGTAGTCAAATATTTGAAGAATTCGTTAGTAAAACGGATTCAGCGGAAGTAATTGCAAAATAAACATACCTTAAACCTGTAACTGTTAGAATAATGCTAGCTTTTAAGGCGTATTTGTGTCTCGATTTCATAATTTCAAGTGTTTGTTTGTGTTAGTTAATGAATCATAATTTTATGGCGCTAATTCATTCCGTTACAATAAAATGTTGACTCTGTTTACGGTTAAGGTTAAACATTATATTATATAGTGAAGTAGTGTATTATACTTTTGTGTGGGATTCCAATGTTGGTTAGAACCGTAATTTAAAGTGGTCCAGGTCTCAAAAAGTCAAGGGCTAGACTTTTTTAAGGTATGGGTTGTCACTCCTGTCTAGACTTAGTTACGCGAGAGTTTAGTTGCTACGATGGCAAATGTAGTTCAAAGGACAATGTTAAAATTGGCCTAAGAACCAACACCAATTTGGCATTTATGATAATTCTTAGTATATTTTTTGCGATAATTATCAGTATTTAGATTGTGACGGACACTTCCAGTTAAATAAGCTAAATTAAAAAGTTAAAAAATAATCTGAGACAATAAATACCATTTTATGTGTATAATCTATGGCAGCGCTGCAAACAAAACACTCTTTCTTCCTAATGCCGGCACTTCACTTGGCTATTCGTATTTGCTATTTTAAAACATGACATCAGTCTGTCCTTTTCATTCCTTATTAAGCATGACAAGGACAAACTGTTGTCAAGTGAAGGGCCGGCATAAAACTGTTACTCTGTGGTTGTGGTGCATGCAGTTTGCATTCGTAGTAATCTGTGGCATTCATGCATTCCAAAGAGTGGTATAATATACCGGAAAGTGCATTCTCGTTTCGGATTACCTGTTGTGTGTGTTTATTTGCGATTGTTTTTCCTTTAATTTAACTATTTCGGCTATCTAATATGCCATCAATGTAACCAAAAAGCAGAGCCCTTATTACCAAGTGCTAGTGAACCTGTGCTACAACATCCTGAGAGGATCATACTGCCAAATTATTCAAGAACACCTGATACACATTCACGCTGCATATTTACACAATATACATGTGATATACAAATAAATACAATAAACAATATGATACAATTATGTGAAAAATAGTCATTATAATAAGAAGCAAAACTACAGTTTTTGTTTTATTCATGATTTCTACCAAACCAAGTTTTTCCTAATAGTTATTCTTTAAAATCGCACCGAATAAAATGAATCAGTTGTAATATTAATTAATTCACTTCATACTGAGTTCATACTAAATTACTTTATTATAATTAATAGGTTGACCTATGTTTCATTGAATATTCAACATAACCTCAAAAAAGTTTTAGTTTTCCTAATAATTTAAGTTCTTAGAAGTGTCCGTCAATAATCTTTGTTTTTACAGTCATTTACTTACGATTTTGAACCTAGAAAATAATATTTCATGATTGTTGGTTCTTAGGCCAACTATGTATGGACGCTGAACAATGTCCTTTCATCGACAGCGTTCTTATTTACGTATTTCTCAGATTATAGAGTAGCTCCTTCAAATACATATTATAAACATATTTTTCTTTCATCTATTAGTGCAAAAATAATTGCTTTGTTGCTGAAGTTAAACCAAATTGGATCTTAAACAAAAGATATTAAGTCCGAGCTGGAATATTGATTGCTATTTGTTTGAAAAATACTTGCATTTAAATTTACGAACGGCGGCCAACTGTTGTGATTACATTTTGTAACAAACAGGCCAACAAAATGAATAAATGCCAGAAAATAAAGTTTTACTCGTATTATATAGGTAATCTCTGTGTTATGATATTTTTAGTGCATAATGGTGTTGGTTGTGTTATGACACCAATTTATTAAATACTGTTACTTTATTAAACACGATATTGCACAATTTTTTGTTGTTCTAAATAAAAAACATAAAAAAATACTAAAAAGTGTAAATTCTAAATATTCTAGTCTGGTCAATAGTTCTGGAAGAAGCAATTACTTCAACTATTTTGTTAATTAATGATCGCACACAGTGACAACTCAATTATTTTAAAAGTTAGATTAATGTGTCACTTATAACAACTAAATAAATGAAATTTGATTTTATGAAGCATTAATGATGTCTTTAAATTTCTATAATACTTATTTTATGCTTAAAAATATAAATGGAGTAGGTATTAGCCTAATATGTAATTAAATTTAACTTTTCAAAGAAGATTCTAACGTTTTATAATATAACCTGTTTTCATGAAAGACATAAATTATGGTAATTTTCTTAATACACATTGGTAATATGTATTGAAATATCTTCAATCTGGTTCGCAACTCTTTTAATATCCGATGTAAAGGCCGCCTACTTTCATTATTTTGCAATGTAGAGTAAATTTTATTTGCAAATAAAAAAAATCAAACTACGAATATGGATACAGCCGTAAAAACTTAATGTAAAAAGCGATTTATTTATGTTTAAAATTACGAAAGGGTACCCGTGACTTGGTAGTCGCAGTTTCTCGTATAAACCTATTTTCATCCCCTATTTTACCCCTTCGAGCATTATTTTCGTAGTAGACTGAAAGGCAGATAGACCTTTAATTATAATATGGTTACGGAAATCTATTACAACATTAATATCAAATTTTGAACATTAGCCATAAAAAGCAAGTGATTTCAAATACCTATCTCCAAATGAAAAAAAAAAATACAAAGCTTTGAAAGCAAAGTTTAAAACTTTGAACTCGTTCAAAATTATCATCACTGATGTCAGTTTTAGTGGTATTGGAAAAAAATAAGCTAGTTTTATGCAGTTACACACTAACGGCTATTTATCGCCTGCCTGAATAGAAAATGTAGCTACGTATTTCTTGATCATAATTTACTTTAACATAAACTAGTAATTTGAACTGATTTGTCTCAATGGTGCATTGTTTTATTTTATTGTGTGATGCTATTATTGCTAAAGTTTATTTAAGACGAGTACAGAATTCAATATTTATTACACTTGCGGTTAAGATTCACAATAAAATTAGTTTTTAGAAAATATAAGATCTTCTAGAATCTTTTTTTTATTTAAAGTTTAAGACATTATTATACCTGTGAACTGCTTAGATACGCTTTTTTTACTTAGGTTCTTTAATTAGGTACAGTTTTCGTAATTTTCGAAACACAACAAAAAAGTTTTATTCGCACCTGCTATATATAATGAGCGTGCAATCTATTCTTATGGTTTTCTGACTAGAAAAGAACACATGTCACCGAATATGAGTGGCAGGCGTGCAGTTACTAATTTTTAAAACACATGATTGCGGCGTGATATTGTTCAGTCCAACGTTTTTCGAGGTTCGGTAGTGTTAAGTGAGATATAAGATAAGACATTTATTTATTTAACTTTCACAAAGGTAAGTAAGTACAGTCAAATGAAGTACACAACATAGTTTCGTAGACAATTAAAGGGGGAGATTGTATTTTTATTGAGTCGAAATATCTTCAACGTAAGTAGTTGTAACATGGAGAGAAAGAAGAGCTTAAATTTTATTAAGCTTTAAGAGTTTCAGATGAATATATAAAATAAAGTATTATGTGATACTTGCGAGGTTGAATCACGAATGTCATTAAGTCATTTCTGCGCAAAAATTGCCAGTTTATTTTGAGATTAATTTTGTACGTAAACTTAAAAAGAAATGTAAAAGTACTCACCCATGTTAGCAAATAAATATTTCACACTCTCACTGTATTCAAAAAATGTCTGTTGAGATCACCCAGGTAATGAGGTATTTCGCGGAGCTATTACCGTCTCATCGTTACCCTGTCCACTGAAGGAGCGCGCGCGCACCGTGTGTGCGAGCCTCAAGGATTCCGCGTGCTGCCTACAAAGGCTTATGTGCAAATGCCGCTGTGCTACCGGCTTCCAAAGAGGACTTCTATTGATAACGATAAGAGCGATCGCTCATCTCGCGATATCAATGGTGACCATCATCCATCTCGGCGTGACTTCTAGGTCGCTCCCGGCTTATATAAGTGTTATGTAACTCCCTTAGACTTACGATTTTTTTCATAGTGGAGATTGAACGGAAGTGGAATGGGTGGTGCTCTATAACTTAGTTAATGCCTTATTTACTTTATTTTACACATTTAAAACTTTAAATAGGTTGTGTTACAGTGTTTATTTTACACATTTATAACTTTTAATACGAGGAATATGCCTATTTTTGAGGTCGGTGCTTGCAAATCCTGTAATTTGATTTTTTATTGTAAATATTATTTCTTCGAATCATCGAATGTCAAGAAGATATTTGTATAATCTGTTCGAAATTTAAATACAATTTTATGTGTTTTCTTCAAGCTGTCGAAAAAGGACAGAAAATTGCTAAACGAAATAAGAGTTATTTGCATATCGATAAACTACATTACGACACCACATAGTTTTAAAATTAGTTATAATTAGTGTCATAATTAACAAAATACAGGTAGGTAAACGAATACTTTAAAAAACCACGATTGCCCTGACATAAAAGCACTCTTTTTTGGCACTCATGTAAAAATTGGAGTCTCATGGCTGTTGTGCAAGAGATAGCTGTACCCTTTTCATCATCATCAACATGAGTAATTGTGCCATTTTTGACGTGACAACGTCTTAAATTAGGTTGCGGCTGGGAGTCACTTATGAAAAAGTGTAACGCTCGGTAACGTTACGATGAGTCTCTCGTGTTAAGTTTAAGTTTACATGTACAATGTTTTAGTAAACAAAATATATTTCTATAGTTAAAATTTGTGCAATTCTTATTTTCATTCAATTCCTTGTTCCTATTGTGCAATTTAATTATATTCATATCAATAAATATTCTACCGAGAAAAAGACGTTGTCACGTAAAATCTTCGCCCGTAAAACCGACTTTACAGGCAACCATTTTTTTTTATTATTTTGAATCAAGCTCAAAGGACATCGACGAAATCTGCCCTAGCATGCACAAACAAATGTCCTTCACTATTATTTTTTTACTTTATTAGAAATTATTCATAGTAAACAGATATTCTGTGGTAAAAATTAAAACTTCTGTAAGTACTACACAATTTGCTGTCATTTCATCCTTAGAGCCTTAAGAGACTGTCTCATCTTTTAAAAGCGTCTTAAAAGAGATGCGCCGTTTGTGTCTAATGGGACAATTAGACCACACAACTTCAAATGTGCGATATCTAGTCTGTCCTGATATCGAGAGACAGCGCGCTAGTTAATAGGTACCTACCCTCCTTAGTTAATAATACTTAATACTTATCACTACTATTTATATTACATTTATTAGTAAATAATTTCTGCAATAATGTTAAGATAGTTTATACTCCAATCCCGTACAATATTTATTTATTTTTATGAAACCAGGTAATATAATGGTAACCAGGTACATACCTTATTACCAATAATAAAATAAATAAACAGTTAAATGGAAAGCCTTTAAACATTTCATTTGAAAATAAATCTATTATTAAACAGGTAGGTATCATAGACGCCAACTGCCAACATTCATAAATCAATATGAATATGAGCATTTATTATTTTTATTACTAACTGCATTTTATGTTCATTTAATTCATATAGTTTACGTGCTTACATAGAGGTAAACAATAAATATATTCAGAATATATAAAGTGTACATCGTTTACGATTAAGTATAATTATTATAACCTCAAAATTTAATACATTCTGTAGTAGGCTCTCTACGGTTCCTCAAGTTGTCCGTATTTCAACAAATTCCATTTCAGCGTAAATTAATTTTACGCTGCACCCAATTTCATATCAAATATATGTATAAAAACTTTTCGAAATTAAACTAACTGATATGTGGACCATAATCGATTTAGTAGATCGACTAATATAAGACTTTTTATTTTGGCTTAAAATTTTCGTCATTTGTTTCGTCAAAACGACGAAAACACTTTCGCGAATATAATAACTTTTACAATAAAACTTTCATAATTATAAAATCAGATTCAGCCTATTTTCCTCACACTCAAAAAACACTACAGCATTTTCCTTTAAAATGCATAAATTTTATTGTATTGCACTCTATATTAGTGGATGAAATCTGGTAGCAAAATATCTTGCACATCTCTATAATTAAAAAAAATACACAACATAGCTAGGCAGGATGTCATTTAAGCTGATTGTTATTTTCAGTTGAACAGCGGAGTTCCTTCCCCAGAGACGTCGAGAGGGACTCGGCAAAATGAGCCGCTCGGTAAGGCGATTTGTCCGCTGCGTTGCTGAAATAAAATTCATCTTAAATAATATCAGTATTCTCTGAGATTCCTCCATTATGAGATTGAATTTTGATTAATTTATTAAAAAAAAAGGACCTGCAGTATCTTACATTTTCTACAAAACAAAAAATTACTTACATGTATGAGTTAATACGTACATATTACTTGAACTGCTTTAATGCCGATTTGGCTGATTGTTTCTTTTTTGTGTTGTAACGTGAACCTATCACGAAAGAATTGTTTTGGGAAGTCCACCGTAAAAACTCTGTGCTACATGTACTATGACGATACACACTTGGCGAAAACGGATAATTGTAATAACTGAAGAAAAAAAAAATCTATTTCATTATAAGGCCACAGTTAAAACTGATTGTATCGCTTATACATCGATGTTTTCCATACCATAAAATGTAGAAAATCCTTTAAAAGTTTTGACATGGATTAGACAACAAGAAAAAAATAATGTTATGTGTTCAAAAATATAATAATAAATGTTATTATATATTTTTTTTGTTTTATAATCTCTTTTGTAGTTTCTACCGACTGGACTAGATTTATGTATGTATATATTTATAAATATAAAATATATGTGTATTTGTTTGTGTATGTATATGTATATATTAATAAATTACATTGAAATTTACGCCGCCGTCTCTCCCACTTCCTTCTAATCCTCTCCATCCAAAGGTTGTCTGGAATAGATCGCTTTTAGCGATAAGGCCGCCCATTGTAACACTTAATTTAAATGGCTCTGTATTTATTGTAATTTATTCTGTGGTGTTCAATAAAGTGTTTTGTATTGTATTGTATTGTAATAAAAGACGCTGCACTTTTATTTTCTCTTTTCTTTTAAAACCGTCTAATTTTAAATCCGATCGCCATAATACATCCAAAAAAATAAATAAAAAATCGAAACATCAGCGCCTCTGTAACAATAAAGTAATTATTTTATAGGATGATAACTAATCTAACTATTATGACGTGTTAGTCGTGCGTTTACCTGTTTATTCATATCGTCAAATGCTGATGATTCATTGATCTGCAAAGACCATATCGTATCATAAAATCATATTTATTTAATGAAACGTTCAAAACGTTATTAAGCTGAGATGAATTGTATTATTCTGCTTGTTACACTTTCGCGGAACACTAATACCCACTCTGTCCTTTGGTTAAATTTTGGGTATTATCTATATCTATGCGAGAAACTTTGTTATGACTCTGACTATTAATTATTAATTTAATTCCAATAGTTTTAAATATCGACCTTACTTTATTATTAATCGATTACTAGTTAAAATTTTCCAACAAAGAAATAATTTAATCCTACACTTCCTTATTTTGGAATTTAAAATTTTCGCGCTCCCGTCCTTAAAGGCCAACACGGACATTTCTAGAATGCACAAACAGTTCAAGACTTTGTCAAGTCTATCAGAGTTTTTTTGTGACACAAAAGGTCAGGATACGTGTTTTAAAACCCAAACCAAGTAAGAAATAGCAACGTGAATGTTAGGGCCACTGGTCTAAGGACGACGGACTGGTGAAAATTAAATGCGTATTAAGAATGCATTGAAGCCTCTGTTTACATAATCTCTTATCTATTAGACAAGTCCGTCCGTCCGTCCGTCCGTCCGTGGTGCTGTTTCAGCGGCCAAACCGTAAGAGATAGATATAGAGAATGTTTAAGTTATAAGTTAAGAATAGTCTGATAAGACTACAAACCGGATGTGAGTAATGTAGCACTTCCGGTTTTCGAGAAATCACGTGATTACTATTTCAAACGAAACCACACAAAATCTCCGAAGTTCTCAATCAATTAAATACATTTTTTTTTTTGGTGAACATTTGGTTCACTGGTTTGCTAGTAATGTAATAATATCTCTCGTGTGTGTTTTATTCCGTTTATTTTGTTTAGTAGGATTATCGTGTAAGTAAATTAAACTTACACAATTCATTACTTTGAGTACTATGTTTAATGCTTTCAGCATTAAGTTTAGCTGTCAAGTCGATTCTGGCGTGATTATCTAAACTTTAAACTAAATTTAACATCAGTCTCTCCTTTTTATTCTGTATAGAGAATGACAAAGGATACACTGTTGTCAAATTTAAGTTTAGGTTTAGAGAACCCTGCCAGATCCATAGGAAAACGGAGGAAATATGTTAAACCACTTTAGGGTAGCAATCAGGCGTATGGGCTGCCTGATGGTAAGCGGCTACCATAGTCTATAGATGCTTTCGACACCAAAAATACTCACACAGTTGGAGAAATAATGCAATATATCATGTAAATGGTAAACATTAAAGTTGCTTTTCATGACCTTGTGTTAATTCTATCTTCGCGTGGGAGTAAAACTTGAACCCGGCACTTGTGTTAGTCAGGGATAAAAATTCATATAGATGAAGTTGGGGACGAGAGTTCAATAAGTACTGTACTAGCTTTACCCTGACTCGCAATGTTGTTGCTAAAAAAGTTAAAAAAAGGAGAAAAAAATACTTATAAAAATTAACAACATGAACTTAATAACGTACTCAGCTTTTTAATCTATATAACAATTTCAAAACTCTCGCGATATAAAACTTAAACAGATTTGCGATTTTGATCAATGGAAAATTAAAATGAATTTTTCGCAAATCTTTCAGCTTTCTCAATACTTTCTTAGTACCTATTTCTATTGCTTTTTAAAAGTAGTCCACCTATTGGAGAAGTACTTGT